ACTTTATATACTTTTTATATCTATTAATCACACTTGTAACTATTGTTATTGATCAGTTTAAAGTCTTTACAATCTTTTTATATGAAAAACCACCTTTAAAAAGATTAACTATTTCACTATGTTCAAAATCTGTTAACTAAAAACATTTTTTTGATTTTTGATTATGATAAGGAATTTTTTTAACTATATTTGAAAGTTATAATTTTCAACTTTCTAAAAGTATGAATTATTTTATATTTACAGCCGAATTTGTTGCATAATTGAATTTTAACTTCGAACGAAAATTTCGAAAATATCACTGTTTTTTTGATCCACCCCGGTAATTCGCAAAAAAAAGTCGGTATCATGTGATAGTCAATATAATACAGTACATTAAAATAAAAAAGCAATATATTGTACGATAAAGAATAGAACATTTTTTTGTCTTACATCTTAACTTGAGAATTGAGAATAAGTCCTAAAAAGGAAAGACGGTTCTGTTCAGTCACGGTCTCGATCGCAAATAAAAAAATTTTATGTTCTAGATTTGCTTTGGATCTTCGACCAGATTTTTTTCACTGCGATCCGTAGTACACATCTTTCGACATTATTTATAAAATAACAATATCATAAATTGCGATCATGGTATCTCAAGGAGGAGTTGGAGCGACCTCAGTAGAAGTCGGTAAGTTCATCAGATTTCAGCTAAGCTTTACTTAAAGTTTGCCGAATGAGAAACATTTTAGTACATCTAATTTATTTCGAATGTGATAATTTGCCTTGGGTATAAAATCAAACAATCGATATCATTATTTGCAATGAAATCTAGCACTTAGGATAAAACCACTTACGCTTGAAGACCTGGAAAAGATGCCAAGTCGATTTCAACGTCATGTTATCACAACATCATACGCACCAGGTCAGGTCATAGTTGATGCCGACAAAAGACAAATATTTCAGGTATGAACTGTTTTCTTGACAAGATCTATAATCAATTGAGTTAAAATTCTAGGTCATGTTGTATAATTTACTCCCTAGTACGATTATGCGTTCGGACCAGACGCTACACAAGAAGAGGTTTATGAGAAATCAGTGACCAACTTGCTCGGAAAATTTCTGGAAGGTAAACGGTCGATGTGAGTAATGTCTGTTTTACATAATTAGCATAGACTGAACTCCTTCATTGGGATGTTTTTAGGTTACAATGTAACAATTTTAGCCTACGGTCAAACCTCGTCTGGGAAAACGTATACTATGGGCACAGCTGACAATGATTTCATACCTCCCGAGTCGAAGGGCATGATTCCTCGTACAATAAATACACTTTTCGAAAAAATTGAAGCTGAACAATGCAAAACATCGAAATTTTCGGTGAAGGTTTCATTCATTGAAATTCACAATGAAGATCTAATTGATCTCCTTGGAGAAGGAGAAGAGTATGAGAGGCCACCAGTCACTATCCGAGAGGACGTCAAAGGGAATATATATTGGACCGGTTTACAGGAACTCAAAGTAAACAATGTGGATGAAGTTATGAAGTATGATAAATTCATAAATTTTTTAAATTTTTTTTACGTCAATTAATATTAGTATACATCATTTTTAGGCATTTATTACATGGATCAGAGAACAGACAAGTTGGGGTCACGGATATGAATGCGAAATCCTCCAGGTCGCACGCAATCTTTTCAGTTACAATGGTGCATAAAAAATTTGTACCTTATGGACCTTTGGGGGGACCACCAACTACACCACCACCTGATTTAAAGGCAAATTCAAGTTTAGAAGGATACGATGGAGAATGGGAGACAATAACGAGCAAGTTTCACTTTGTGGATTTGGCTGGAAGCGAGAGGGTAGGCTAAAAATTTCCCCCTTTTTTTTTTTTCGCAATCTTTTTACTTTGGAATTCATTCAACCTATGAAATGGATATATCAAAGTTAAAACGTACTGCTGCAAGTGGCGATCGAGCAAAAGAGGGAATATCTATAAACTCTGGATTGCTTGCGTTAGGCAACGTTATCTCGGCCCTTGGCGATCCTAATAAAACAAAACACATGACTCACATTCCTTATCGGGATTCGAAGCTTACACGTCTACTGCAAGATTCTCTTGGTGGGAATGCACAGACATTAATGATTGCTTGCGTTTCACCTGCAGAATTCAATCTTAATGAAACAATAAACACACTCAAGTATGCAAACCGTGCACGTAATATTAAAAACATGGCTTCAGTGAACAAGGAAGAATCCGGTTGGAATGACGTCTCTCACCTGCAAGGCTTAGTCATAAAACTTCGTGCAGAAGTGTCTACCCTTAAAAATCTTCTTGCCAACGGGCATCATCAATCTGGTGGTGGAAATGTTAGTCCTGGAAGAGTCACACCCACGCCTACTACGCCCACCACACCAAATGGAATTAAACTACCTGGTAGAAGTAACTCGATATCATCGATTCCAGGAAGAAGTACCCCAACTTCCGGTATTCCGGGGAGAAGCACTCCGACTTCTGGAATTCCGGGAAGGAGCACTCCAACCGGGATACCGGGGAGGAGCACTCCAACTACAGGAATGCCAGGACGTAGTATGTACAATAACATTGCAAATAACAGGGAGCCAGTAAATCGAATGAGACCTGGATCGCCATTGACCACTTTCGCACATGGTGGTAATGTGCAAGTGCACAAGGACAAAGAAGTGGAAATCTTGGAAGAGCAACTGATGCAACTTCAGAGGTCATATGCGGAGTTATCTCAGAAATATGCTAAGACTTCAGCAGAATTAGCAATGCACCAAAATAATTATGACGAATTGGAGAGCACTACTAAAAACGAACCACAGATTGAGAACTATGAAAAGATGATTTCGTCACTTGAGAGTAATCTAGCTATTACAAGTGCGGCCCTACTTCATTCAGAGACACTTTTACGGGAACAAGAAAGTCAAATGAAGGAGTTGGAGCAGGAAAACGAATTAAATAAAAATAATATGAAGGATCTTCAACATCAAATCAAAGATCTCGAATCGAAACTACAAAACCAAGAAATTGTAGCTCGAACAAGAATACAGAATGACAGCTACCCCGAAAAATTCATAAGTGAAACTGTTCAGTTGTTGGAAAGGCGTCTAGAAGAAAAGGACACGTATTGCGCGGAATTAGAGGAGAAATTAGAACGAGCCACTAAGGATGAAAACACAAAGCAACTGAGGGAGGAACTTGACGATCGTGATTTTAGAATTACTCAACTCGAGTCCAAATTAAACCTCTTGGTCGAAGAAGTTTACAAGTTTCGGAATATGGAAGGTTTTCGATATCAATCCGAAACTGGCCCCTTAGATTCTACATCTGCTTCTTCATCGAGTTTCGACACAATATGATGGAAACAGTAAAGCACGTACATGAAAATAAATGAATCTGAATTGTTTTGGGGCAATGATTAATTTATTTTTTTAGATTTTATAGTAAATATGTTTATTTCTATTTTGTATTATATTCAGACAATTCTAAAATGTCAAACATTGTATTTTATTTTATAATTTTCTTAAAATAAAAGTTTTGAAGACAGTCGCTGATAGAGTTTAAGAAACTAGTTCAAGAAGGATCTCATTTTTTTTAAGTTGACATTGATTTATGTTCAATGAATATTAAAATTATTGTTATTATTACTTATATTTACGCCATTACTGTATAACTGATCTGTATGAAGCATTACACATAATAACTAAATTATCAACAATTAGTTTTTATTAATTATTAAAAAAATAATAATTAATTTTTAGATTAATATATTAGAAAAAAATTAATAATTCAAATAATATCCTTTTTACTTTTGACTATTTGAAAAACTTATTTATTCTTATGAGTTTTTTTAAAAATATTAGAGAAATTTATTCTTTTACTAAATGTATAAGTTTTTTTATTATATTTTTAAAGTTAATACTATATTACAAAAAGGTTTGTTTTATTAAAATAAAAAAATATTTTAAAAACTTGCTTAATTAGAATTAAAGCAAAAAAAATGTTTTCTTTTTTTTAAGAAATTCTTTTTATTAAATAAAGAACTTAATAAGAAATAAAAGATAATATTTTATATAATATATCTTTTGTATATTTTTTGATATTATCAATTATTTTTTTTAAAAACTTGTTTAATTAAAAAAAAATTATTTTATAAACTTTTTTTTTTTTAATAAAGAATTAATAGAGATCTGGTTTATTGAATTTATTATATTTATTTTTTTTTATTCCTTTGTTAAGCTAATTATATATGTTTTATTAAACATATTATAAACTATACTAATTATAATATCACTAAAGCTAAATTGTTAACTGACTTACTTGTTTTAGTTTATCTTTAAACTTTAAGTATAACTTTGAAAGTTATTTATTGTTCTGTTTATAGTTTGGATTAATATTCTTTTATCCTTAATATTATTGCTTACAGTTTACTACTATAGATAATTGATTATAGTTCTGACTAAGTTTAAAATCCAATCATTTCATTTTATTTTTTATCCCTGTTATTATGATTTTAGTAAGGCTTTATTTGAATGTTTATTTTCTGTAATTTCTCATTTTTTCTTTGTACTTCTCACTTTTCTTGTTATAAAAGACTTCGTAAAACTCTTTATTTTTTTATTCAGGTTTTCTTAACTTTATTCTTATAGAACAGATATTTTACTAGATGTTTTATTATTTTAGTTTGATTTTTATATACTACAGTATATAGTTACTGTTTTTATATAAATTAAGTTTTTTTATTTTTAGTCTAGATAGAGTAAATAGTTTATGATTAATTAATTTAACCAGAAAGCTCTTTTTCTATGAACTTTTAAAGAATATATTCTATATATACTTCTTTATTGGTCTTTCTCATATCATATTTTATAAATATTTTTGAAAATTTATTATTTGAAAACTTTATTTATCCTTAGTTCAATTTTGTTGTATTAAATAATATATTATTGTTTTATTGTTTATTCTTTTTATAAATTGTTTTATATAACTATCTAGTATTATATTTTGCTATTTGATCTTTGTAATAATCTTATTAGATTTAAGATTTTTTAATATAATTGTAAAAAATTTAATATTTATTTGACTATTTTATTTACTATTTTATTTTCTATAATATTGAAGTGAGCTTTGACTTTGATTAGTTAATTTCAGGTTTTTTGTTTTGATTATACTTAGCATTCTTGTTCAGAAAAACCAATTCTTTTCTTTTAATTATTTTCTATAAATAATTTTTAAATTATTTTTCTTTAGACTATTCTATTTAAATATATATATTTGACTATCTATATAGATTTTAATTGAGATTTTTATTAGTGTTACTAATAAAATTGTAACTATAAAAGTTAGTTCTGCTCTTGTGGAAAATAATCAATCTTATAGAATCTGTTTCCTTATCCTTTATTATTTATTTAAATCCAAGTCTTTTTTATTTTGATTATATTTTTTTTCATAAATCTATTATTGATTTATTTAAGTAAAACATTGGTATATTTCATGTTTCTATATTTTTTTCAAAAATTTTTTAAATTATCTTAATAAAATCTATTTTGAACATATTTTTTAATAATTTTGATTTTCTATTATTCAAATATCAAATAAGGTATTTAATTTCTAGAATCTATAATTATTCTAATAAATTGAATTTTGTTAATAATTTTTTGCTTAAATATTTTTCTTTTTATTAAAAGTTTTTGATCCTAGCTTTTTTTATTATTTTCTTTTTGTTCAAAAATATTATTTTATAGGTATTATTATTTTCTATATTTATGAAACATATAGTATATTATTCATAAGTCTATCTTTAAAGTATTCGTGTATTAGATTAATATTGTTTTGTAACTATTAGATTGTTTTTTACAATTGAAATATATTAGCTCTTTTTTATTTTTTAATACTTTTTCTCAGATTATTTCATTTAGATTTTTGTTCAGAATATATAAAACTTTTTATTTTTATCACTTTTTCCATCAATTATTGAATCATTTAATGTCTATAAAACTTTATTATTGTTTCAGATTCTATTAATTTCTTTTATTATCTTTAATAATACTGAGTTTATAAGTTTATTGTATTATTTTGAAACTAAATCTTTTTCTATATTTTGGAGAAGTTGGGTTCACCTTTATTTTTTAGTTTTTATTTATATTATTTGTTCTAAATACATTAATCTATTATTGTATAGGAATTAAATGATTTTTTTATACTCTTCTTTTGTTAAATATTCTTGAATTAGATTGTTTTTTCCATTTTATTTAAAGATTTTATATTATTTCTAGTTTTGAAATATTATTTCTAGATCTTTAGCTATTTTAAGTATTTATAATACAAAGTTATATTTAGTAATTATTAGGATTAATATACTGTAGTTAAGTAAGTTCTATTGTTTTAATATTTTAATTGTATTTATTTAAGTCTTATAATTGTTATAAGACCTTATTGTTTAATTCATTTTAAGGACTTATAACTTGATTTTTTTTTATAATATCCATATACTTCTTTTAAGGTAATAGATCTTAAAATAATATATCATACTATTAGAAAATTGTTTTGCATAATATACTTTTGATTTTAAACAACTTTTAAAATCTTGTTATTAGGTTATTACATATTTTTTATGATAATATATTATGTTACATCTTGAATTCTATTCTAGTTATTAGAATTTTGTTTAATATATATATGGCCTATATATATTATCTTCTTTATTATTATTATTATTATTATTATATTGATTTCTTTAAGAATTTCTTCTTTTATTTCAATGGAATTTTTCTAATTTTTTGTTCAGATACTCAAAAATCTAGTATATTCTTTTCTATCTAGTTCTTTGACTTTTTTATTATTAATTTTAACTTTGATTTTATTAGAGTATTTATTAGAATTGTTGATGGTAATATGTATTGATTTACTATTATTTATCTAGGAATCATTGGTTGTATAAAATATTCTTACAATATTTATGATCTGTTTCATATCTTCTTTTAATTGAACTATTCAGATAGTATTATATATAAAGGAAATTACTGCATGTTTAGATTTTAGCTTATGTTCTTTTTTGTCTTTAAGATTTGAATTTTATTTGACTAACATTTTATAGTCTCTATTTTTGTTATTATAAATTTTATACAATAGAGGGTTATAAAATATTCTCTATAGAAGAGATAAAATAGTTTTATTCTAATTTATTTTATTTTTAGCTATTATTGATTTTATTAAATTATTTTTATATATTATTTTAAACTTTCTATTTTCAAAGAGATCAATTATAATTTTAATAAAGCTTGTGAAATTTTTAATTTTTTTATTGCTTTTCATAATATATTTAGGCTTACAATATCATATGCTTTGATCATGTTTTAAAAAGTATTTATAATTCTTTTTGTTTTCTCTTGTCTTTTCACAAATATTGTTTAGTACTTGAATTAATTCTGCAATATTTTCTTTAGATAATCTAGTATAGTTTGAATTTTTCAAAATTTAATATATTTTATAAATATTACTTAGTCTATTAATAAGAATCTTTGAAAAGCATTTTCAGATAATCTTTAAAAAAAACAATTGGTCTTGTATTTTAAAGTTCATATTTCTATAGTTTTAGTTTGACAGTTGGGTAAATATAATTCTGTTTCTATTTATTTGAAATAATTTTTATTTCCAGAATTTAATAAATATTTTTTGAAAATATTCTTTACTTTGAGTATTTAGCTTTTTGAATATTTTATGACAAACTTTGTGATTTTTCTAAAGCTTTGTTTTTTAAAAATAATTAAATGATTTTGTTTAGTTTTTCTTGTAATATCAGTTCTACTAGTCTTATATACTAGTTTTTATTAATATTTATTTTAGACTTATATTTTTTTTTTATTCTTTCATTAGATAATCATAATTAGCATATAATTTTTTGAAGGCTTTTGTATAATATCTTCAAAACTTCTTTTAAATGTTTTCTTTTTTTATTATGATAAATTTCTAATTATTGTATATAGTTAGATCTTATCTAATGTTACAGTATCTTGATTTTTTTTCTATCTACAGTAATATTGAGTTGACTATTCTTTATTAATTATTTTTTAGATTATCATATCTTACTTTTTTAAAATTTTTTTTTCTTCTTATTTTTTTTACTGTTTTTTTTTTTTAATCCATAATCATACTACAATGGCATGTCTTTATTGAAATATTGAAAGATACCACAATGTTTACTGACTTTCACAAAGTGACCAACTTGTCATTATATATTATTAGTTAAAGGACTACACTACTTAAAAAATATAAAGAGTTCATTAAGCTAGTTTGGACTAAACAAAACTAAGTTTAAACAAGGTACTCTAAATCAGATTTAGTAAACAATATTATGCTC